GAATATGCATAATGTCACAAAGACTCGATTCTGATGGTGCTAAATTCCGATATACTATGTACTGTATATAATTTAGTATTACAACATATATTGTGTGAAGTTTATAATGATTAATGAATGTTCTTTGTTACAAATTTAAAATTTTTTTGGAACCAACAAATTCATTCGAGCTTTCAACCAAGAAATTTGCATTCACTTCATCATGTTGAAATTAATATACTTCAACTTTATTAACCTTTCACCTTTCAAACTATTACCAGTGAAACAGGAACAATATTTATATCAGTTTCAACATTAAAAAGTGAAGTTGACTTCAACAAGCTAATTACGGCGCATTTGTGGAATTAGGGACATTAAGTAGATATAATGGAAAGATGGGTTGAATGGCGGGAAGAAGGGTTAGACATCAGATTCGGGAGTGCAATGGTATATCATAATTTAAATCAAAATATATTTCACAATTATCATAATAACTCTAGCTTATAATGATATATGTATACATGAAGTCAAATTAAATTCACTCACTACGAGTAGTCAAACTTTTTCAAAATTTGGGCTAGTTTACAAATGCGCCGTAATGCAATAGTAGAATTAACATATTGAACATAAGCATGTTTTTGCATTCTAATTCTCAATCTTTCCATAGCAGCGGTGATATCTACACTTCTCACGATATAAGTATCATTATTAGCTTGGTGATTGCTAGTACTACACCACACGGCAACGAAGCCAGAGAAATGTGGAATATCATATCCACTGGAGAAATGTGGAGAAGTTATTCGCACTGGCTAAATCAATAAAGATAAAACTCGATGATAAGTGGTAAAGATTGAATTTGAAAGAAATGATAATTTTAAAATAATTAAATATCTGGGGAGTAGTTATTTGCGAGATGGTTGTATTTGGAAAAATTATAAAGAGTTAGAAAATTAATTTGGACTTGTTGCTCAAAGAAAATATAAAATTATTATTACTTGCTCAGAAATATGATCATAACCTTTTTGGGAACTTGATTTTTTGATTTTAGTTTTTAGCATATTATATATTTAGTATTTGTTCTTTACAGATTTAGTATATCGGAATTTAGCACCATCAGAATCGAGTCTTTGTGACATTATGCATATTCGGGTTTTGACCTATTAGGATACTATATAAGATTTAATTGTTATAATTTGAATTATTGGGATTTTGGAAATGTACAACATAGAATTTTTTCACAATTTTGTTAGGAAGGCTTATGTATTGTCGATATTGTGAATATTAATATTTCATATTAAATCCAAACGCCTTATGTAATAAAAATATTTATTTATCCAAAATAAACCAATTATCTAATATAATGGAATTCTGTCAATTTCAAGAAAAACTTGTAATGAAACTTCAAAGTAATAATAGTATAAATTATAAAACAAGTCTTGGCTTTATGTTATTTAATAGACTAAACAGAATTTGATTAGTTATTCGATTTTTTTTAATTATAAAAATTTATTACAATTTTTATATATACTTTAATTCATTAATTTTCTTATACATAAAAATTAAATATCATAATGAAAAAAAATAATAATATAAATCAATTAATATTTATTTGATTTCTAATTTTGACAATTCACTATCTACGTTCACAATTAAATTCGTGCAAGGAATAACTTTACTCGCACCACCATGAATATCTACATGTGGTACTTTTAAATTCTCATGCGTTATTTTAGAATCATTCAATTCTGCCAGAATTTTCTTATTATTTTACCACTCGTTTATAATCTCAGAGTTCTTCTGCTCTATGTCTATTTTTTGGTCCCTTGCCCTAACTTTGTTTCATTAGTTCTACAAACATTGGTGTGTTTTTTGTTAATGGGTGGTAAATTTTCATAACATATCTTTAATTGAAGCTCGAGTTGACTTAATTTAAAATTATAAGAAACAGAGTTTTCATACAAGATTTCCCATATAACTATCCCAAATGAATAAACATCAAACTATGTAGTATACTGACCTTCATTTAAAACTTCTGGATCAATATAAGGTAAAACACCACAAATCTGATTATCATTTTGTTTCAAAACCGAATTGAAAAACCAAGTTTGCTATGTACGCATTATATAAATCATTTTGTAAAAGTGTTACCACTGTGCAAATTTCGATGAATAAGTTCTTGAGAATGAATTAGTTGAAGATCAGAAGTAATATAATGTTACCTTTTTTTCTCATGCGTATTTCACCACAGGAACATAATCTTTAGAATCATTTTGTTTTGAAATTTCATAGCATCTTAAAAATATTAGATTTTTATTGCCAATGTTTAATATGCTTTTAACTTTTAAATTAAAGATAAGTGATTAAATATAAATCATTAAAACTTTAAGTAAATTAGTACATAAATGAAATTACCTTTTTCATAAATTCCTCATTATACTCTTTTGAATTATAGAACAATTTAAGCGCAACAGGCTGTTTATCGCCTCGATTTTTACCTCTCCACAATGAAATTATACTGTCGCCAACCCACCTCTTCCGATAACTTTAATATTTTAAATTCATTATAAGGACACAGGCATATTTTCTAAATTAGTTTCATAGCAGTGTAAGGATTTTCTATTAAGTATAGATAAAAATTTGACATCAAAACGCAATGCTGAGCATAAATAAATAAAACATTTATTATATATCGATCAGTAAAATTTTTATTAACTAAAGCCAAAAAACATCAATTTATAATCAACATAAAATTTACAATACATACAAGAAAAAATCAAAATTCTATAAACCATTTATTAATAAATAACTCATTGCTGTGTACATAATGTAACAATAATAATGATTAATGATCATGTAACAATAAAATAAAAAAAGATTTGATTTTTTTATATTAACAAAGATAATAAGTAGTATTTGGTAACATCAAAGCGTAATCGACTCAAATCAATACTGTATCAAGAGTCTAATACATTGCCGTGTAGCATAATATTACTCAAAAAGCAAGTAAAATAACAAAAAACTAATACAAAAAACGAAGCGATCATAAGGGCGTTAACAAGCGATTAGCTGTTATGTGCCACTATGTAATGATAAAACAATTAATATGGTAACCACAATTTTATAGCCGTTATTGGATTGGTTACATATAAAAAAAGTACATATAAAGTATATATATTATAAAAAGTTGTCTCTCAAGCTGATAAAAAGATCTTTGAAACCCATTCTTAGATCACAAGTTATATAAATTTTATAGCGATTTCTGTTGCACGTTGTAAACGTAAAACGGCGAGTCAGTCGCTAATCGGTCGGATCTCTCGTGTAACCACTTGGAAGGGTAATTCGGGTCGAAGGAGGC